TCGTTTCAAACAGCCCTAGGAGCACATAGCTCCTTGAGTCGCAGCTCAGCCATCTAGATTCACTCCTAGGAGATATAAATATATCTTTGAGTTGCACTAGGCTTGATAATCGGGTTCTAGAACTTGTTCGATCCTGCTAGGGCTTTCATCTGGGCAGTCATTAGTTCTTTTAATAGGAATAATATCCCTATTGAATGTCTGGGCTTCAGGTTTATCTCCTTGGTGCGTGTATTCAGCTAACACTGAGCATTTATTCACTTGTGTAGCCTGAAATACTTCAGCCAGCAGCTGGAGCTCACTCTGGCTCTCGTTATATCATCGAAGAGAGGTGCTAGGACCATGGTATGGTCACTAGCTATAAAACTGTGCATCCTAGTGCACCATAGACAGTGCTAGGAACCACAAAATCGCAAGATTTTAGGCCTAGTTAAACTTGGGCCGTCTCATCGTCATTGTAGATGCCACACGAAATCCCATTTGGGAGATTGACGTACCATATAGGGTATATTGTAAATGTCCTAGCTGTCCCGTCTGCACCCGCAAGTACAAATCCTGCCAGCTAGGAGCCTAGACTCGGCCTACAGTTGTTCCTGTCCATGTGCATGCCTACTAGGATCTGCACGCATGCTGCTAGTGATCGTCATCTTCAGCATGGGTGACAATATGTTCGGTTCATCATACAAATAGGAGTATTTGGTTTGGTTTGTGAGTCGCAAACGTGTCGCGTACATCACGTGCATCCCTCAGACTTTGCCTGGCTACTGTCTTGTGTTTGCTCTCTCGGAAGTGTTCTTAGGAGCTTTCGTAGTTATCAACAAACATATATGCCTCCTCCTAGGTCTCAGCGCAATATCCCTCATTGCTGTCTATGCAGTCGTTGGTCCTCTTAGTAGCAAGAATGTTGCTAGGGCAGGTCTAGGCAATATATATGTCTCCTTAGTGCGTGTACCTAGCTTGCGCCTAGCAGTACTACAACCAGCTGTTTGGAGCTCACTCTGGTCCTCCTTTGTATCACTGAACAGAGGTACTAGGGCTGTCAATAGTCCACTAGTAATGCATCTGCTTGTCCTAGCAAGCCTGTAAAGACTGCTATAAACCACAAAAATGCACAATGGAAGGCCCTATGTGAGTAAGCACCACCACATCTTTGATGGTTGTTAACATTTGTACATCGAGCTACGCGTTCAGGCACGTGTCCGTGCCAAGCTAAAATATTTTCCACGTCACATTTTCCTCTCACTGGTTCTTACGACGAACTCAGTGAGAGGTACATCTATTTTCCTAACTAATTGTACCATACACCTAATTATTACCTACTTAGCTTGTACTGACTGTGTCGTACAGGTAAATATAATTTACTGGTTCTTACGACGAACTCAGTGAGAGCTTGTACTGACTGTGTCATACAGGTCTCCGTAGTTCACAATGGTTCCCAACTCACCAGAGTTCGAATCTAGCCCAGTCCGCCAGCTCTGCAGGCCCATCACGAGTGTCAGCGTCTTGGAAACATCTACGTTCATTTATCCCTTTCAACTCTGTCACTGTTTGACAAGTTGTCAGCCAAATATGGGGCTGTATTTGTTCAGTGCTGTCAGAGGAAGCTGTGGGGTGTTCGGGTCCGGGTGAATAGTAGGGTGAGCCCCGTACAACATGAAAAATGTTTCAGCAATGTTTACCGAAGGTCCAGATATGCATACCTCGCTGGAACTCATCGCCTGCAACGTCCCACTGTCATTGATCACTGTATGTACTTTTTAAAAGACGGATCCAGTTGTTATTGGTCTACGATAGACCAATTAACACCATGATAATAATGTTCCAAGGTCACCACAGAGAAAATAAACTCCTCTGTGTGACATGGATCGCGCTTTCTCCCTCACAGTTCAAACCTTCTGAGTGTACAGTGCCGGAGCGAAGCGAAGGCACATCTTGTCCCTAAAAAACCAGACTGCTGCAGACCCAGAAACCTTGACTGTTGTAGTTGAAGCTCAACAGGTCAACCTTTCCCTATCCGACATGTTTGCGAGATACCATACCGTTTTTTTTTTCGACACTATGCTGTTTTTTTTCTTTGGCTTGATATAGTGTTCCAGTAGGTCGCGTAGAACGAGTAGTAAAATGTAATTTTGTCACACTGTAGCTGACCTTGATTTTGGACTGGGAGACTATATATACCAGTTTAATCTCATCAAAGGCTCAACTGTCGTTCCCACACAGCCTGAGATCGATCTGCTCTGCGTGTATGTATGAACACTACAAGATCCATTACATGTAAAATAACTTTTCAATGCGGAAGACTCATAAGAGTGATTCTCCCTGCGGTTAAGATACGAATAAATAAGAACGAGAAATTGAAGACCAAGGCTTTATGTCCCGCCCCCGAATCGAACAGGGACCTCTGCATAATTCAGCTACAGTAAATGAGAGCGGGTGTGCGCCGTGCACCGTGGGACATATTTTCTAAGGGCTGAAGACGTCCTGGATGAGGATGCAAGCCATAATCCCGAACGTCATTGAGAATGCAACATAATAAATTGTCCATGTATCTTTGCTAGCACTGCGCGGCGTACGAGCACAAAAAAACAGAAGACAGAAAAGCAGTTTCTGCGACTTGGATATGTCCTACACCCAGTTGAGCCGGGGTACCTCCTCACTCAGTCATAATGCTGTGCATGAGCTCGAGAATGGCGAACCAGAAGGACTTATCTTCGTAATACCTACGGAGTGTATTCTTTATCTCCATTGTTTCTTGACATATTTGCCTGGAATTTCGTGCTTTTTTAATCTCTTGAGGTATCGATTTCGAGCGAGCGGTCGACGTGAGGTAATAAGGCGGCCCGAGATAGTAACAATAAAAATAAAAAACACTCTATCTACCACACCAATGTCCCCTCCTCGAGTCCAACGGACTTCCAAATATAATCGGTTGCACCTGGGCGTGCACCATCGGGAACTCTACATACGGAGGGGAAAGCATGAGCCTAGCCTTATAGAAAGAGAAACCAAGCAGGACTTGACGTTGAACCCCGGGCTCCATCTCTACGCTTGCTTTGGTGCGATTCCGTGCATCGGCCATCCAGCACGGATCTGTTGGAAGGATCATCTTGGACTTTGGCTTTGATTTGGAAGTTTGAAACACCTGTAACCGGGGGTTTGCGATGAAATTTGATCCATTTTCAGTCTCTCAGTGTGGTCGTGCTTGGTCCGACGCAAGTCCGACGCATCGGTCGGCAATCATCACCGTGACGTGACCGCCTTCTTTCTTCACTCCCCAGCAAATTCTCCTGCTTTGGGTTACTCATAACTGCAATCTCAATCGGTCGCCGTTCGAAAGACATGCATCAGCTGCGGAAGTGACTACAACCGCTAGCATATCCAGCCACGAACGCGATACGGCGGTCTGGAACTGGGCCGTTCATGCTACGGATGCGAGGGCGTTAGGTGGTTGGGCACGGAGCTTATTCTACAGTAAGCTCAAATCGCTCACGTTCGCACCTTCTCTGCGTCGCGTGGGGACTAGGCGCGCAGCGACGTTCCTACACTAAATATGCTCGTCACGTACCCCGCTCGACACGCCCGCGCTTCACGCTCGCCCCACCGACCTGCCCTCAAGCTGCTGTGCGCCGCAACTCCGTCCAGCCACCCTCGCCCTCGGCCCAGTGTGCGTCATAACTATTAACAACAACGACGACACACACTCTCCATGCGCAGATTTCGGGGACCACAAGAGCATCCCTTCGTGGAAATGCACACCGCAAGTCTGACACCCACGTCTTGACGTTCTTCTTTGACCTCTCTGCGCCGACTCCAGTCCGGCGCCGCGTCGTACTTGATTAGGGAGTTTCCTGCAGCCAGTTTGCGCCGACGATGTACAGTGCACACCATGACTGCCGTGTCGCCCGCCTCTCGCCCGTGCTCCCCACGTGCACCACACCACGCTTCCTATGTTCGTACACCGTAAGCCTGTCCCGTCGAGAACGAGTTGCGCCCTCTCGGTTACCCTCGCGGTTACCCCCAGGCACTGCAGAACTGCCCTCCTTCCCGCCCGACCTCCATCATTCCCATGGTGATCCTCCCCTTCCTGCTTCTGCAGCCCATCCATGCAATTCCGGCCTCCCAACGCCTCTGCCCAATGCTCTCTACCCCGCTCTAATGACAACAGCATGGCACGGCATTCTTCTTTCTCATGCGCGGATCCCGTTCCGAATATTCATGGACAAGCTCGCGTCGTTTCTCTTCATACCAGCGCCGACGACGAGTATGCAAACCCGGATCTGTTGCCCTCTCGGCATGCTCCTCCCTCGTCGCACTATTCGCAATGCCGGGATTTACTTGAACACCATGCGCGGCAGCTCGTCGTCTTGGCGCACTTCCGAGTCATCATGAATACGGGTTTGAAAACACCGGAAGAAATGCTGTCTGACCTCTAGATGTACGTGTGTATTCAGTCGTCTTTCTTATCTGATGATTGAGATACTTGTCTTGTCTCTATCCCGCACGAGCGCTGTGGGCGCGTCCTTCTCGCCCTTGTCGTCTCTCGAACCAAGCCGAGACGAGACTTGACATCCGCTCTGGGACATAGCATTACATCGTAGGGACGCTGTGCTGCTCTGCAGACCTATCTGAAATTCTTGTTCTTCGCCACGGCTCCACGGCTCCACGGTGAAATCTGATGTGACCTACGCTTGTTCTTCCTTTCGCCCATGGGCAACCCCACATCGTCATACGAGCCATATTCAACTCTGAGCCCGAGAGTTTGAGAGAGGCAACTCGTCTGTTTCGAGTCTTTACTCGGCGAATTCCAATCCGCCACCCCGCCGCGAGACGGGGCGTATAATTCATTCTTTAATGCATTCTCATTTCTAGTCCATTATAATAATCGGCGCCTGCTCACCGCCAACCTCAATCCGGTGGTCCAGTGGATGATCCAGGTCCAATTCTTGGTGGTGTTTATTCTCGTATTGGTTCAAAAAAAAAAAGTTCACGACCGGCCAGCATAACTCAGACACGGGGAATCGAACCCCGGTCTGCCTCCCAACCAATCTTTCTTCACTTCGTTAAGGACAGGAGCTGTGTGCCATACACCATGTCTGAGTTGCTGCTCATCCTGTAGAGGTTGGTTTTGAAGCGTGCTTATTTCTCAAGTGGGGATGACAAAATGGACGGTATCCTCCTACCAGTTTCTGTTCCACCCGAAGTTTGGAATTAAATAAACCCAGGTGCGGTCTTTCTCATTTCAGCTGATTTTGAACACCCGTCGATTCGCTAATTACGAGTTCCAACCCGATTCTCTCTGGGGATTCAATGATGTTCGAGGTTCAAAAAAAACGAAAAAAATCGCGCCTTGGTACTCTATATATTCGGACACTGGGGGTCGAACCCCGATTTGCTTCTGTAATTCTATTTTTCCGATTCGTGAAGGACAAAGGCGGTATTATATACACCATGTCCGAGTGCTTGTTCCTCCCAAAAAATGGATCTTAAAATTAAGAGGTGAGCAAGTTCCCAGCAGGTAAAAAAAAGAAAATTGAATAAAGAGGGTGTATTCGGACACGGGGATTCGAGCCCCGATCTGCCCCTGATATCCATTTGAAAGACGGAGACGGCGTTCCTACCATGTCCGAGTTCCCGTTCTTTTCAATGAGTGAGCAGCCTCTTGGGAGCTGGAACAAATAAAAAGTGAACAGAAAAAAAACGAAGATGAAAATTGCATTTGAAAGAATGGTATTGAGACACGACACCCTCAATCCATATGCCGAACTAGGCCTCCGACTCCCTCATAACTGTATATCAAGACTGAGATCTCGACAACAGGGAGGGCTCCGACCGGGCTCAAACATCGACTCAACACCATGGCTTATTATTATTCGCACGTGTACTAGGATCGACCATAGTATATAGATCCTCTCCTCTCTCCATCTACTGCGGGAACAGCCCATTGACCAATCCGGGGATAGCCTGGCAGCTGAGACTCTTGACGACCGGAGTGGAGTCGTTGATATCCGGATCGTCAGAAAAGTGCTCTGTGGCCAAATCATTCGGCTGGCTAAGCTCGAGCGTGCAATCGGCATTCCCAGATGAAAAAAAAGCCATTGGTTTAGACCAGGGTCCACGGTACAGAATGAGTCAAGGGGACGCACGTGAACGAAATGCAGTCGTTGTCTACTTTGAGGATGAGCGATTTCGGCGAGTCGACGCTCGTGCACGAGCCCAAGCAACTTCCAAGTGTAACGGCAAGGGGAGTGCATGTGCCGGTTCCATTGGGACCGGAGCATGAATAAAAATGATAAAGCACGGTAGATTAATGACAAACGACAGGTGCGCTGTGGCCAGAGATGCCAGAGAAGGAGAGTACAAGAGAATGCAATCGACGCAGAGAAGAACATGATGATCAAGTCAGAAACAAGCCAAAAAAGCTGGCGAAGAAAGGGGTTGAAGAGGGGGATTCACAGAATGCCTTTCATGAAACAGGCTTGCCAGATTTATAGCCAAGCTATCACCGGGGGCAAAGGACGACGCACTGGGACATCGAGTGCTTCCAACGCATTCAGTTGGCATGCAGGAATCCCGAGGAACAAAGGTGCCACAAAAGTGATTGGCACCTTTCTTCCATGATCTGCCCAAATGCTGACTGAATGCATTGGAAGCAATTGATTTCCCAGTGCATCGTCCTTTGCCCCAGTGTATTCCGGACAGAGGCCGCGAAACTGCAAATCAAATGGTAGTACTTATCATAGCAACGGTTCTTTCACCACTACCGAAGCGTGACCCAACCCGAGTCGACTGACCCGTCTAGGTTCCTCCAAATGGGCCAAGCTAAGAAAATACGGGATTTGGATGTTTGGAATTTAGGAGCCGCAAACTTGTCCATCCTTCCGTCGCTGTTGTCACCTTCAGATGAGTGATCTATGCTGATAGCGGAAGAGACGCCCCGACACGGTGTCGTATCAACGTCAAGGCCTCACCGCTCTATGGGCGCTGATCAATGCGGAGTACATTTTGATCAAGTCGTAGGAAAGAAAACGGTCACGACGATACAGTGATTTTTTATTTTACTTTTGCTAGAGGTGGACTATTCAAAACGGCCGTAGCATACGTTAGGCGTCTTACGTATGGGTCGTTCCCTCGCTGGGCTAAACACCAACCGAAATGAAAAGAGCGGTATAACATATGAAGTAAAATGCTTGCCAACGTTGTAACTTTCTTGCCAGGTTCACAACTGTGGGAGATCTCGGCCAACCCCTGCAAACTATAAACACGGTGTAGGAAACACCGAAGGACAACCTTCGAAAACGGTTCACAGAGTGCATAATATCCCGTAAGAAAAGTTTTATAAAGATGGCCATGGAGAGCTGATATATACCGCAGAAGTCCGAGGGCGAAGATGGCCTGTGCGGAGTCTGATGCGAAGGCGCTGGCGCTGTGGCACACCAGACGGGGGTCATCGCGGTACCAAAACGGGGACGAGGTGGCGTGCTCAATGGGAGGGGCAGTTGCAAACTTTCGCATCGGCCAGCAGGACTGTGGGGAGAGCGCGTTCGGAATCGAAGGATTCGGGGGCTTGGCTCGTTTGGAGAGGAGTTTCGTCTGCGTTTGACAGTGAAGTGGAGAGAGTGACACTGACAGACGCTGTGATACCTGGAAACCTTGTATGTGCCTTGCTAATTTTAAGCGGAAACACACCGAGTCTCATCACAGCACGAGGATAGGTAGATAAGTCAGTGGATAGGTAGCACTACAGGGTAAGATCCCGCTTAGGAACGCCGGGTTGGGGAAGTATCCCAGTGAACTCAGGCCATTTGTACAGCATCTTTCCTCGCCCCAGAACGTCTCTCGAACCGAGCTCACGCATCCGGTCCCCGTCGCGCTGTAGAGCTCCCAGAATCAGAACCCAATACAAAAAAAAACATACAGTCCCACTCTTCAACCTGGAGAAATGGAACCCATCCTCTGATATACTTCGCAGAAAATCGTTGCATGTCAGCCGTACCTCGTTTGTTGGCCCTGGTAAACTTTGATGTATTTAACTCGTCACTTCGACGTCAAAATGCTGCGACAGGGAAATCTGTTTGTGGCAGAATATCAAACTTTCTGCCTTGCCGTTCCTCTGCCGATCAAGGGGCCCTGCATTGTCCCAAGAAATGAACCATATGCACGTACCTCATGCCCCTGGATTCTGGTCAAGGATCAGCCTCGGAATTGGGCCCGGGAGCTTTGAAAATCGAAGGACATCGCCTGAGATATTTTAGCGGCGTGCGACGCGCGCTGCCACTCAGTTGGTCCTCCCTCCTTACATCCCAGTTCCCACCGCGAGAAGGATAAAACCACCGCTATGGAACGTGCGATGTCCCAATGAAGTATAAGAGGTGCGTGCCCTGCCCACTCCAACCCTCCACTTGGACTTCTCCCCCTGTAGTTCAAGTTTTCAAACAAGCCTTCGAAATGTTCTTCAAGCTCTCCCTATTTACCGCTTCAATGCTCATTGTGAGTAATACTTGTGTGCTCGGCGTTCCTTTGACTGTAATCATTTGGTTGCAATACAGACCCTCGCTTCCGCCCAATCGCCTTTTGTGTGCTGCAACAGTTTGGTCCCCTCTAGCAACAAGGCTGCCTCTGCCATCGCTGGTCTCGTGGGCCTCAGCCTGACCAGTGTCACCGGAAATGTCGGGTTAATATGTGTTTCTAATCCCGGTCTGAACCCCTGGTCAGTCTGGCCCCGGTCCATTTGGCCTGCACTTGACTGATTCCCTCTTTCCCAATAACAGCGTTGCTGGTACCGCGCCTCTCTCCTGTGACACCCCCGACCCGGCGTGGGGCAGTCTCATCGCCATCAACTGCGGTCCCGCCCCCTTCTGAGCGCTCGGGGAAAAGAGAAGATTTGCGAAGGATTGTCCAGAGTGGGTTTCGGAACCTTGTGTCGCTGGTTCTGTGTACAGTGGATGGAGCACATTCTTTTACAAATATATCAATGTCGAGTCACGACGGAGCCCTAGTGCGGCGGTGCCGGGAATATAGAATATTACGCATCCGGATTCAACCCAATCAGCAATTCGCAAGAGCCGGTGCTCAGATGCGTTTCTGTACTTTGCCACAACCAGAGACACATGCTTCAGAACGACGCATCAGCTTTCATTTGTGGCTCGGTAGCAGTGCGCCTGCGTCGACGTTACTGTGTGGAGTGCCCCTCACCGCCTAGACCCAGGACTCGGACGAATAATTGCGAATGGTGGAACGATGGCCTCCGCCAAAATAAAATGCTCGAATCGACTCTAATTGGCGAAGACGCGTAAGAAATCCGGCGTATTTTGACATGGTAGGGTCAGCGGAATTCGCGGATTGATTATGGCTCTGTGTGGTCGTGCTTGGTTCGACGCGTCCGTTGTGGATCCTCACGTGGTACTGGTGACTCACTTCTCCCCCTCTCGGACGACGAAGGACAACTTTATTGGTCACATAACTCGATACTCTGCCCAAGCTGGACACATTTCTTCGAAGACTTGAAAACCTCGAGGCTCCTCACTCAGTCACTGCGTCAGCGCTCTTGATTGCTCGCTGCCGTCCAGTTCGACAGCCAGAAGACCTGAAGACTTCCAAGTCGACGGGTATCTTCTGTCCTCCTCGACTTTCTTCCCCTCTCTGCACCTACACCAACTCCAGCGCTGCGCCGCGTAGTACTTGATGCTCGACCACCTACGATGCTCCCCTCCTTTACCTGTTGCACTCTACGCGGACGGTCCCTTCCTGCGCTGTTCGTTGGAGACTGAAGACCGCTTGTCTACACCCTCGCTGCAACTTCTTGCACTGGAGCTCTCTTTTTGTCGAGTTTTGTCTTCGTGGACTACAAAACATCCAATACCTGATGCGACGTGAAGAAATCCGCCACCGGAACACTCGACAAATCCGCACCGAATATCATACGTACACCAATGCAAAGCCGCGGACCGCGGCGCTCCGACGAACGTTCTCGGTGTGGTTCTCATTCTATAGCAATTTTAATTTGCTCTTGCAGCGCCCACCTTCCGCAGAAGATCCAAGTTCGATCTCTCTCTGGCATAATGGCACAATTTTCTGTTCTGTCCTGCGCACGTCCTCCA